AAGGAGAACATTATGAACATTATAAAAACCACTGGGAACTGCTTAGCAACAAGTGACTAGTCAGGCAATGATTATGTAATATATAACATAATGTATAGAGGGATCGGGAGTATAGAATATAGAGTGTAGTAGTCATTCGCATGTTTTGTGTTCTGTGTATGTTATGGGTGTTTAATTTGAGATAATATATACTGTATGTAAAGAAACGTGTTAGCACATATAAAAAAGGAGTTGATTGTTTTAATAAAGAATCCATCCCTGATCCGTCCGTCTCTCTGACCCCTCGTCTCCACACGGTCCTTCTCTGCCCCTGTTTCCCATTTGACATATTCACATTTTCTGTCTAAGTAATTGAATTGTTGGCAGACAGTGTGAAAATGTACCCGTCTTGGTAAACCTCCTGGATTTGTTTGTGTTCTTATTTAAACTGAGTCACAATCCTCAGTAAATCTGTTTTTGTGAAGGAATAGCATACTGCAGCTCTTGAGATGAAAGACATTCCATATATTAGGCTGATGCAAGGTACGGAGATGTTGGGGTGCAGCGCTAATGTGTGGAGGGAAAAAACAGCCAGCCGTCAGAATACAATACGGCGGCTAGAAAAAACCCAACAATGGAGGGGACTGGTTGAGAGCAAACGTCCCCAATGTCCTTATTACACTTTGAAGTAGAACTAAATTCAAAAAAATTCCCTAAAAGGGGCACCCAAAATGTATGGGACCCCTTACTTTTTAATTTTTTTGGCCGTTGGGGTCCCCCTTAAAATTCCTTCCAGACCTAAAGGGTTTGGTGTGAATTGGGGAGGGACTCCACACTTTTTTCATTTTATTTTAACGTTTAACAATACAAGTTTATTACTAATGACATTGTGAACATTTTTTGGATGCATCCGAATTTTATTACCGGAGAATTCAGATACGTTCGGATTCGTTATTTCTTTCATTTGGACATTCAGATCCTTCGGCATCCCCGAATATGCCGATATTTCTCCGAATTTCGATTCAGGATGAAAACGCACCGCACTTGTCTAAGTCATCCCCCTAGATTGTCCCTAGCCCCATAGTCCCTCTGTGTCTTCACATGACTTGTAGCACTGACTGTGATTTCTCAGCCAGGAAGGGCAGGTTCTACCTCCCGAGACACTTCTGAAGCCTTTTTATAATTTCACATATCAAAACAAGAGCGATAACACAGAGGAGGTTCGTAGCGCGAATCTAGGAAATATGTATTATGGATGTGACACCCAACACCCACCCCATGCATTAAATATTATGGAAATGAGAGCTAGCTCCAGGGTATGAGTCAGGGCTGCGGAGATTCTTGACACCTCACTAAACACCCTCTCTTCCGCATTCTGCCCAGTACACAGCCCCGCTCCCAACCTTCTATTTGTCTCTAATGGGTTATACAAGTCTTAAAGGGACCCTGTCACCACAAGAGGAAACCATTCAACTCCCCCATCCATGGATGGAAGAAATCTCCCCTGACGGCTATTGTATTCTGACAGCAGGCATCCACAGCTGTCAGAATACCCCAAGAAAGAACCTGCCTCTTTTCCTGGCTGGCAGACATCCAGCATAATCTAGCCCTCCTCACCACTAGTCTGACTGTCCCTGGCCAACCCCTTTCATTCATTAATAGAGGCTCAGCTTTCCATGTAGCCATTACCTAGGGCAGTCTGCCTCCCTAAAAACACCCACTCCATCAGACTGACATCAACCCATCAGGACAAGTTGATATTTGCATAATTCTTCCCAAGAGCCTGCCCACTGCTTGTATCAGGGCTGAGGGCTCTTTGTAGGAGTACTGAAGGAGGGTGCTGTGATGTTTTCAGAAAGCTATGTACAGCACCCTGCTGGCTCCTCCTACCAGCCATGATGTGCCTGCACTGCATATAACAGCACAGCAGGAGAAGGGAGGGGACAGGTACGTCATATGATCTCTCCTCCTCCAATCTCAAATTGCTTTGTATTCTTTAAAAATACAAGACTTGGTGTGATTGGAGAAGGAGAGTGAAGGGTGCAGGGATGTGACTGGAGCACTTCAGTGCCGTAGCCCCTGCTCTCATCCCCACAGCGGTCCTTAGACTGCTGGAGAAGAGGCTGCGGGTCCAGGTGGATCAGGTGAGTATATCTGCTTTTTTTTTACCCTGGAGACAAAATGAGCCATTTGCAGTGAAGGTGTAGCCCCACTGCTGGGTAAGTTTGTGATTTGTTTCCGGAGTTCTTCTTTAAAGTGTAGGCATAGTTAAAATTCACTACAGGCCCAAACTATCAAAAAAGCTTATAAAAGCTGGACCCCCGGCAGTCTCTATCGGGGAGATCTTTCCTCTTTCAGTCCTGTCTCCAGTACAGGAAGTGCGGGGGAACACTCCCCATTGGGGACACAGGTAGCAAAAAAAATCGGCTTCTGGAGTTCACATTTATTTAATACATGAATAATATATCAAATGGATCTAACCTGATATTGATTACATTTATGGGTTTTTTTTCTTTCTCCAGTAAAGTTTTCCTTTAAGAAAAAAAAAAAAAAAGCGTGTTTTTCGGTATGAATCTAATGACTGCAATTGGCCAGACATTCTTTTCATTCGTTTTCCCTGCACAGTGCTGATGAAATGCTAGATCTGTTTGAAGTGGGATAGACAACATCTGTCCTGTCGGTGCCAGCCTATTAATTAAGGTTCATTATTGCACCAGTGAAAATAGAAAACTGATGGTCCAGATGTACTGGAAGTAATTATCCAATCACCTAAAACCATTGACGGTTTCCACGCACCGCGTCCTGGAAGTGTGCGCGCCAAAACTGAAAACTGATATTTTATTCATGTTCTACCTTCCAGAGGCTCAGATAACATCTGTGTTTTATAAAAGAGTTTGAAGAGCGGGGAGATCAGATAACACAGATGGAAGGACACGATCCCCCCACCACCACCACTCTCATAGAAGACTCTCTCTGGCTATGTCAATTCTACACAGGCAGACAACAAGCAAGTAGACAGCAGAAATATTTTTTTAGTGTCATGGGTGTAACCTGCGGTAATGTTTATTTGTAAAAGAAAAATGTATACACAAATAACACATTGCCACATTCAGGAAAGATGAAAAAAATAAATAAATAAAAAATTGAGAGGGATTTATCAAATCTGGAGTAGGCACAATCTGGAGCAGTTGCCCATAGTAACCAATCAGCTTCTCTCCCCTCAGATGGTTCAGCTAAGCTTTGAAAATGAAAGGTGGATGTTGATCGGTTACTATGGGCAACTGTTCAAGCTTTAATAAATGCCCACCATTGTGTGTGTATAGCCATCTATTGATCCAGTTAGAACCGATACTTTGGTCTTGTAAGACAATGGCAGGTGAAATCACTTACCAGCCTCTGAGGTTTTTCCCTGAGGGGCCCTTCACACTATCGCGTTGCGGTAATGAGCGTTAAAAGAGCCGTTTTCAAGGTGCGTTACTGCAACACCCATCAAGCCCATTGCAGTGCCACTCTTTATGAATGGCACCCCAATGCACTTATAGAACGCAACGCACGTGTGTTGTAACACAACACATAGATGTGAGTGATCTGTGCATTGTGGTGCATTGCCAGTTCCATGTCCAGTATGAGAGCACTGCAGAGCTTCAAAATGGACAGGCTGCTTAGCGCAATGCATGTTAAATGCGAGTACGTAACATAAACCGCCCCCCAGTAGTTCATGTCTGCCTTCCATATGGAGAACTCTCACACTTGGGTTCCATATTGTTCTATTCTTTCCCATGGAGAGTCCTTTATGTGAGCGGGCCACCATCATTTGGCTTTGTAATTGTTCTACCAGGTCTTTGGATCTGGAACTTCTGCTGGGTGAGGCCAAAAAAAGATCCCAAGAGCTTTAAGAAGCCAGCCTATGTTTCATCGTGCAAAGCAGAAACCTCAGATATAGGCATAACTGACCTAATGAATGGCGTATATTCCTAATTAATTCTACACAAGGTATAACAATTGGGAGTTTGCAGTTTGAGAACAAGGGAAATAGCTAATTACCAACTGAAATGTGTCGTGGCCACAGGTATAGTCGTCCTGTATAAGAAACGTATTGTCTCCATGGGTTTGTAGGTGCCAGGCTGGTGATCTGTAGCTCACTGCTGCCACCTGCTGGCCAACAATGGTTTTCATTTCCTCATTGGGAGAATAAAGTACTTAATCCTATTTTCTTCTGTAATCACAAAGCTTCTTACTGGAGTGAGGTGCCACAACTACAAAAAGGGAGAAAAAAAAGCAGCCCTAAAAACGCAAAGTGCTGTGAGCACCATAAAAGCTAAATCTTTGTCCTGGAAAAGCTTCCGGTTCTCATAACTGGGGTTAATAATTTGCCAATTTTGATATAATTAAAGTGTATGTAATCCCTTACAATGAACTGACTTTTGCAACTTGCAGTGCGGGAGTAGCCTCGTTTTAGTCTAGAAAGGAAAATAAAAAGGTTCTACTCACCTGATCCTCGGAGGCAGCTTGCTGTTAGACTGGTGCTTCCAGCCTCTCTCCCCCACCGCTGCAAGTCCCTGAGTCATCACGTTCTATACACAGGATATAGGATGTGAGGACGCAGAGATACATACTATTGCTGGAGCGGAGGAGGAGACATACAGGCATAAAGAGTAAATGTACTCTATTGGAGTACAGGGGTTGTATCAATGAATGTGATGTCACCACCCCTTGTCCAATCAGAGAATGCTTTGTATTCCTTGATGAGAAAACTAGGTGTTCTCTGAACGGCTGCTGTGCAGAGTGAATGACCCCCTGTGCTTTTACAGTAGATGGGAAGTCGCTCAGCACAGCGGCAGTACCGGGACCTGAAAGATCGCGGCCAGCACTGTAGCAGCTCTGACTACTACAGTGTTTTATCGGATCCCCGTGGGCAGGCCAGGTATATCATATGGCCAAGCTGGACCAATGTATGTATGAATAATACTTTAAACCTGGAGTTGAGCTTTAAATGAACCATACCCACCAAATGTATATATTTGATATGCTTTATTCTGTGACTTTATAAAGAGACATAAGATGGATCAGCGTTGAACTGTTTTTAACATCAGTATCCTTTTCCTCATTGGATATACTTTTTAGCTTCCCAAATAAGTCCCTGCAGCTTCCCTGTTCAGCTTTACTGAGGAAGACCAGGTTGAGGTCAAAACGTTTTGTCTGTGCCAGGCAATTCAAGATGTCCATCACTTCCTGCCACTGTGTTCCCTGGAGGTTCTCCTCCAGTACCTGAAGGATGTCTCCCAAGAGTGCCGAGCACACCTCCGCATGGAAAATGAGGGACAGTTTTTCAGCTCCGATCTGCAGGAGGAAGTCGTATCTTTTCTTTGCGTCTATCCTGCGCCACTCACGGGTGAATTCAAACGCATTAAATCAGTGGCCAGTCTACAGAGTATGTGGGTTTACTAATCAGTGGCCAGTCTATAGAGGATGTGGGTTTACTCCTCGGTGGCCAGTCTATAGAGGATGTGGGTTTACTCCTCAGTGGCCAGTCTACAGAGAATGTGGGTTTACTCTTTGGTGGCCACTCTACAAAGTATGTCAGTTATAGTGACAGCATTTAGTATCCACTGAGCCCCAGAGAAAGAAGAGAATTGGAAGGAACTCTGATGTCACCATAAAAAAGAAAGATTAAAAAAATATATATATTAATTTTTTTAAAGGGCTGCAGAGGTTCTCTAAGGAGGTGGGGAGAAGGAACAGGGGAGGAAGATTCCTGGTGTGTATGTGGCCTTTAAAGAGAACCTGTACTTTGACCATACTAGGTAAAGTAACAGGATCACTTAACAGGAGGTACTGTAAGCAGCCAGCAGTGCACTTGCCACTGCCAAAGCAATATTTGATATTCCATTACTTAGTGGCCAATCACCAGCCCATGCATGTCCCACAGGAACAGGGGGATCATGCACAGGACTTTGGTGGATTTGGCAGCAGATCAAGGTGACAGGATATGTACTGACCTTTTATATGTCACCTGTAAAATGGACCTGTTACATTGCCAACTACCTCCTAATGTACTCATGATTGAAAAACGTTTAGATGTCTTCCTGGATGAGCACAACATACAAGGATATGTATACTCTTAGAATAGTTAACTTATCTGACACACACACACACACACGTTGACCTGGATGGACCTGTGTCTTTTTTTTCCAACCCTAACTACCATGCAACTATGTAATCCTAATGCCAGACATGTCTGTGTCCACTGCAAGAAGGCAATCAGGACACAACAAAGGGGCTCCGTGGGAATACTTTCTTAGAACAAGTACCATTTCACTGGTATGTGGATGTGATAATCGAAGAAAAACACAACTTTTCTGGAGGTAATCAGATGGACACATCTGGATTAAAGGAGGGGATGGAGAGGATGGAGTTTGCAATAATGTCATAGGCGAGCGGTCGGGACAAGCAGAGGCAATCAATTTCTGTTTCCGCCTCACCTGTAATACGGTACAAACTGCCTCTCTGGATGAGCCGCTTGTTGAGGCAGTTGGATTCCATGGCTGCTTCCTATCTCCTCCAATCTTGTCCTTCCGCTCCAAGGGTTTCAGGTTAGATGCAAGTACAATATCTCTGCACCGTACAAGAGAGCATGGAATAAATTGGAGAAAGAAAAAGTCAATACTGACAATGCCAATATATTACCTTACTGGAAACATAATCCAAACTCCTCTTACATTAAAGAAAAACATATCATTGTATAGAAAAATTGAAATACAAAACAACTATTGAAAGAATATGAGAAAAAAAAGATGCAAAGAAATTCTATAGAGGGCGCAGAGAAAGGAAAAGGTTTGTAAGCAAGGGTTAGCTTTTGTAGAATTGCTAGAGGAGTTATGTTGTAACATATATTAGATCTAAATCCCATCACTTGGCATGAGCTCAGGTTCGGACATAACCTGGTCTGAACTCCTCTGAACTCAGAAGGAAGCTCCATCCCTCCTGCCCAATCAGGGAATTCCCTGCCTGCAACTTGATGTTAACAAAGGGCCGGGATTCAGTGACGTCTTTGACCTTATATGGCTACATGCCTATATTTGGTGAATGACATTTATGTGACTCTATAGGGTAAATGATGTGAGCACAAGCTTCCCTCCCCTTTGTTTACATTCAGCTTCGGAGCAAGGAATGCCTGATCTGCAGCTGATTGAGTAGAAGTGCCCATGGCTCTTCCTTGTGTGGAGGAGCTTGGGTTCGGACTGAGATAGGAAAAAAGTATTTATTTCCTATGCTCCTCAACTCCATCTAGTGGGAAAAAAATGAGAACATTCGTTTTTTCCTCTATTCGCACAGAATGCACATACCTTGTTTTGCAGGATGAATGGTTCTGCCAATTTTGAATAAATACACTCCATAGTGTATGGCCAGCCCAAATGTTTATAGAAAGGTTTGCTGACAATGACTGATTGCTGGGTGCGGGGCAGTCTCTAGGAGCAGGGTCATCCCGATAATGAGGCAGCCTGAAGCGGTTGCCTCAGATGGCATCTCAGTGGGTCACATGGGAAAGGGGGGGCAGGTGTCCCTGTTGCATCTTTCCGCCTAGAGAGCCAGGTTGCTCTTAGCAACCTGTGGCGCTCTGGCCGGCGTCCCACCCAGCTCCTGGCAACCAGATATGTCAGTGAACTGGGCGGAACGCCGGACGCCGCCCCCCCATCACCAAAACTCCCTGCCAGTAACGTGCAACGCCACTGACCACACCCCCAGCGGTGAATAGTGTAGGGACACCCCTGACCATGAGCCCTTGTTCACACCTGAACGTTTTGTAGCGCGTTCTACACTCGACGAACGCTCTACAAAACGCTCAAAAATATAAATCCCATTGTATTCAATGGTCTCGTTCCCACCTTGGCGTATTTCCACCCGTCCCTAACACGCTACAAAACGGCCCACGCCTGAAAAGGTACAGGTACTACTTTGGGCCGTTTTGTTGCGCGTTTCCATTGGGATACAGACAAGTAGCCTTCGAAAACGCGCGCCGGTCGCGCAACTTTTTACCACGAATCGCGGTAAAAAAACACGTGCCGGTCGCGCGACAGATGCGCATATGCAATACGCCTAGGTGTGAACAAGACCTTAGTGACAATGGCATTCTGTCACCAGCATGTACTGATTATCCCTAGGTTACCAGCATTTGTGTGCAGCATTCTGTGTTTTCATACGCCCTCCCAAGCAATGACGGACACAGTTCCACAGATTACAAAGCGCTGTCCACACTTTCTTGTTCACAGAATAACAGCGCCTCTTTTAAACCCACAGTGATTGGTACATAAACTCAACAATCGGGGATGTTGACTACAGCAGCCAATCAGCTTCTTTATTCTATAATCCGTTCTGAAAACTAAAATCCGATTGGTTGTCACTGGCACATACCTGAACTCCTCATAAGATGCCACTTTCTGATGGATGGCACGGAACTTGGCATCATTCTCCCTCTGGTACTTCTCGTCTGCAGCCACGGCATTGGCCAGCTCTCTCTCCAGCTCCCGAAAGTCAAGAACCTCTGCGGTATTCATTGTCCAGAGCTGAGAATAGGGAGGTGATTGGATCATATACATCAACATCTCCCCCCACCATGTTCTAAAGCTGGCCACAATGAGAATTTCATTCTAAACCGATTTTTTAAAAACATTCATTTCATTTTCTAATAGTTAATGGGAACAAATTGACAATCTTTCTTGACCGCAATGACGAGAAAAATAAAAAGCCCGGGTTGAAAAAATGTTTTTTAATCTGAATGAACAAAATTCTAGCAATTTGCAGGGCCCGAAACCTTGTGAAATTCACTCTGTATGAATATTTGCACAAACAAACATTCTTTATTTTTTCCTTACAAGTTAAATCAATTTTGAATGTTCTTCTAATATCACATTATGGACACTAGATGGAGCTGAGGAGCACATGAAGGGGTTGATTTAAGGGGCAGTGAATGTTTGTTCTGTGTGAATATATGCACCAATGAACATTCTTTGTCTTTTTTTCTTTACAAGTGGAATTAATTTTGAATGTTCTGTGTCTAATATCACATTATGGCATTGATCGGGAAGTGAGTGAACACATACCGCTGATCGCTGACTTCCCGATCCTCTCCCTGCAGAGAGTGGTGACTGTCAGTCACCCCAGGGATTCCCCCCTCCTCTCTCTGTTTCTTCAGTGCTGACTGGAGGAACGGACAGAGAGGGGGCGGGCACAGCTTTTCAGTCAGCTGTCAATCGGCCAGCGGGGTGGATCTCCACAGTATTGTCGGGATCCATCCTGGCTGCGGCCTGGCTCTGCGCTCTCAGCATATAGCGAGCAATAGCCCGCGATATACTGAGTTTTGGGTCACCGGAGAACATTAGTATATGTCCTCCCGTGACCCTGAAGCAAACTATGGGCAGAAATGTTTGCCCCATAGTTCTCTTTTAAGTGCTCGTTGTGTCTAGGTTAAAAAAAAGTCACTCACCCGGACCACCGGGGCCGGCTTGCACTTAGACCGGTCCCTACCACCTGTCCCCTTTTCTGCTGCAGCGATGGTATGTCCCTCTGCTTCCTTACAATACGGTGTATTAGACGTGATGACTTGAGGATCCTTTGACTGCAGAGTGGAGGAAGTGAGAGGCTCCAGGGAGCGGTATAAAGCTGGCCATACACCTAGAGATGATCTGCAGATTTTCTATGGTCAGATGGGAAAAGGGCCACAGATTCCTCCATCTACGCTACACTGTGTGGATAGAGGAATCTCCCACTGGTCCAAGCTTCAGTATCTTGCTAGTCGGCCCCGCTGGCTCTCAAAACACATGAACAATCTGATTGGATGCAGGCATTGTTCAGGTGTTTTGAGCGGTATCGTGCACGCGGTCACGGATCGCCCAGGTGTGACCCTGGCCTTAAGCTGACCTGAATGATCCCACCATCCCCCTGCACAGATGAATAATTGCTGATCCTGTCAGTCCCAGCCTCTGTTTGTTTACAACCTGCGGAGAACATCTCCATCTCCTGGCTGCACCCGCACAGTACATCCCCATCGACTTCTATGTGGCCTATCTACCTTTATTGCCCTTTAATGGGGATGCAAGGCGCATGTGCACGCATGGCCATGATTAGATAAGATCAGATCTAAAGGTCACCACACACATTGCAATCTGATTGTACAATCTCCTTAAAGCTGCCCATACACCTTACAATTATCTGCAGATTTTCTGTGGTCAGATAGAAAAGGTGCAACAGATTCCTCCATCTACACTTAACTGTGTGGATAGAGTAATCTCCACCTGGGCCAATCTGTTGCACTTTTTCCATCTGCAGATAAATTGTAAGGTGTGTGGGCACCTTTAGATCGATTAACAGCTATGCAAGGGCTGGATATAAATCGATTGGATAGATTCGTCAGGTCCTCATATTCCATCGTTTCGGTACAAACATTGTACGCTCAGATTGTAAAGTGTATGTGAACATAATACAAACACACACAGCACTCCATGGATGCAACATACCTGCTCAGAGTCAATAACCAATGCTACGCGTCGATTACCATAGCAACCAACTTCAAGCTGTTGATATCCACACGAGCCAATCAGGAACAAGAACGTCATGATCAGGAATAGAGACGGCTTCCGCTTTCGTCTCCGGCATAGGTGTCTATCATAATGCCAGAATTTCACCTAGTTTTGTTTCTGGAGTTATTTTTCCAACCTGAAAGGAATTAAATAAAGGATATTTTAAAAAAGAGCCGATATAAAATATAAACATGGCATTTTGCAGTGTCGTGTCTTTCAGGCAATAAAGGGGCAGCCCTCAGTGGCGCGTGTGTTGGGAAGCACGGGGGTCCTTCGCTGCTGGTGTCGCAGGAAGTGGTGTGAGAGAGCGGCGTGAGCGGGTGAGTGAATGGAACGTAGGGGGAACGTTCCGGGTTACGGGGGGTGATATGAGGGGCCGTAGACTGTCGGTTTTTCCATTGTGTCTATATGCTTTATAAGTCGGTATGAATGAATGGAGAGAGCGAAGGAATGCTGCTGCAGAACATTCCTAAAGTTGTCCTCAGACTTGCTGGAACCAAATCCCTCGGTCCTTCTCTCGTCTCCCTTTGTACCTCTATAACAATGTATTATATAAAGATACCCAGTCATAGGCCTCTATAGCAATGTATTATATAAAGAGAACCTGTAATAGGGTTTTTTTGCAATGTATTATATACAAAGAACCTGTCATAGGCCTCTATAACAATGTATTATATAAAGAGAACCTGTCATAGGCCCATATAACAATGTATCATGTAAAGAAAACCAGCCACCAGCTTACAAAATTGTACCTAAACGCAAGGACTATAAAGCAGGGCTCCAGGAATTACATTTTACAGGTTATTTTATTGGTTCAGCTTGGATAAATGTAAGATATTTGATATCAGGTGGGGATGCTGGAAATCACTGTAGTAGCCCCATGATAGCTGTGATCTTCTGGCAGTGGTTCCTCTGGGCACAGAAAGTCGCTCATTTGGCACCACCAATATTCAGAGAATTCTTTGACTACAAGGTGTTCTCTGATTGGACGAGGAGCGGCTGATGATGTCACAATGCATACAGAAAAAATGTCACATTAACATTCATAAAATAGGTAAAATGCACATGTAATTTTATAGGAAGATTTTTGTTGTTGAAATAAATACTCTGTTGACCGGGTCTCTAAAGCCCAATAGGACCCTCGGTTTAGCTAAATACATACCAGGTGTATCACAACAATAGGAGTTCAATGTCCTACAGTGCATTGCTTTCTAAAGCGGCCACATCCTGAGCCACACCTATTGCTCTGCATTCAGCAAAGCTCATATTCCCCACTGATTGGAGAGCTCTAGCTCCGAGACTCAGCAAGGAGTTGACCTCTTCAGAGAGACTACTGCTTCCACATCAAGAGCAAGAGTCCTTGCCTGCAGCATGCAGGTTCTCTGCCCCCTGCTGAGTCCGTCCTATAGCTCTGCAATAAGCAAAGCTCATATTCCCCACTGATTGGAGAGCTCTGACTCGGCAAGGAGTGTGTCAGACCTCTGCAGAGATAAATATGGACACCGACACTCCAATGATAGAATACGTCTATTTAATGACGTACGTGCAAAACATATTTATTGCACAGACCTCTGCAGAGAGACCACTGCTTCCACACAGAGCAAGGGTCCTTCCCTGCAGCATGCTTGTTCTCTGCCCCCTACTGCAATCAGCTAAGCTCATATTCCTCACTGATTGGAGAGCTCTGACTCAGCAAGGAGTGTGTCAGACCTCTGCAGAGATAAATATGGACACCGACACTCCAATGAAAGAATACGTCTATTTAATGACGTGCGTGCAAAACATACTTATTGCACAGACCTCTGCAGAGAGACCACTGCTTCCACACAGAGAGCAAGGGTCCTTCCCTGCAGCATGCTTGTTCTCTGCCCCCGAATGCAATCTGCAAAGCTCATATTCCTCACTGATTGGAGAGCTTTGACTCAGCAAGGAGTGTGTCAGACCTCTGCAGAAACACCACTGCTTCCACACCAAGAGCTAGGGACCTTGCCTGCAGCATGCTGCAGAGTGGGAGCCTTGTTCTCTGCCCCCCATGCTCAGTCAGTTCACCACCTCCTGTCTGGCCAAAATTCGCACAGTGTATGGACACCCTAACTATCTGTATGGAAGCAGTGGTCTCTCTGCTTCGGTCAGACATGCTCCCTGCTAGTAAGGACGTTAGAACATCTGTCGGGTTTATTTTGTTTCCTGCCTGTGTGCAAGGAGAGGTTGCGGAGATGACAATGATGGTGGAGGGGAGGTTTGGGTTCTTTGTCATCCATCAGAAATTAAGTAAGCACGACTGACACCACTTGCTTTGGGAATCAGAACCGTGAGTCATGCCAAAGGGGAAAGTAAGAAGCTCTTTATATTTCTGGCACATCAATCAGTATTGTTCTGCGTGTTTCAATGGATAAAACATGGGGAGATGTATTCCAGAGATATACTAAACTAAAATGGTTTATTTTTGTATTTTGTCTTGACAAACCCTTCAGAATATCAGCTTTGTGTGCCTATTGTACACCCGCCCTGCTTCCCTCTGTGGTGTCCTAGCTGCTGATTTTCTGATCTGTCTTGTCACATAGGGGAATGGTTATAATACATTACATTTGCTTTATTTACATCCAGGATCTGCAGACATGGACACTGACCCATATGATGAGTTTGGTAACTACATTGGTCCTGAGCTGGACTCGGATGATGACGACGATGATGATGATATGGGCAAAGATGACAGAGATGTTGATGTGGTGAGGCACATTTCTGTAACAGTAGATTGAACTAAGCAGACATGGAATGCATGGGATGTCATTTTTTTTCACTTTATTTATTGGAATTCATATGTGTGGACTGTTTTACATATAGATGGTTACGAGTATTTGCATTTGTAGCAAGTAGTTATTCAGCTTCAACCCCTTCACTGCCAGCGCTGTATCCATTATGGCGCTGGCTGTGGGCCCCTGTAAACAGACTCCTGGCATAGCCACTGGGACTTTGTTTACCTGTGTCCTATTTTACACTGGAAGCGATTCCAGTGGCTGAGCTACCACCAGATTCCTTCCTCGGTGGTCTAAAGTCCTTTTCAGGCTTAAAATCTGGATTTTAACGTGTGCCAAAAAATGACTTGGCAGCAAAAGGGTTAAATAAGCCCCACTGACCTGGAGTTGCAGATGCTGTTGAGCAATTCATGCTTAATGTTCACAGCAGAAGTCGTTCTGTCAGCAGCTCAGCTCACCTGCCCCACTGTCTGGGGGGAATTTATCAAAACTGGAGCAGCTGTGCATGGCAACCAATCAGCTTCTGTCTTTCATTTTCAAAGCTTAACTGAACAAACTGAAGAGAGAAGCTGATTACTATGGAAAACTTCTCCAGATCTGTCTGCTGCAATATTGATAAATTCCACTCTCTGTGTTTTTACCTTAAAGGTTATAAGGCTACCAGGAGGAGAGAGCAGGGTGAGCTGAGCTGCTGATTCACTTCTTGAAGAAGGAAGGAGGGTGTGTAAGGAGTCACTGCTGAGAGGGAAAGCAGGGTGGTAGTGTAGAGTTGAACTGCCTGGGAGAACTTTAGTGTTACTGCTGTGAACTTCCAGGATGAGTTACATCAGTTTGAGCCCCTTGGTTTCCTCTATACTCATCTTCATAATTGCTTGAAATCTTAAATCAGCAGAAAATGCTGGTCTGTTCAATTTAGCTGCAAGTCGCTTCTGGGAGGGGGGAAGGAGAATGAGCTAGGTTGCTGAATCGCTGGTAGGAGGAGAAGAGCAGAGGGCACTGAGCTGCTGAGTCACTGCTTGGAGGGGGAGCAGGGGGAGCTGAGTTCAGTTACTGCAGGATGGGGACCCGCGTTGCTTGAGGGCACAACTTGGGTGCTACGGCTGTGAACCTCAAGCACTTATTATTCCAGTTTAATCCTTTTTATACTCTTCTTCAGAATTACTCTGAATCGTAATCTGCAAAAATCCCGGCCTGTTGAATGTAGCTGCAAAACATAATATAAAACTAACATTAAGATAAACAGAGTTTTCTCTCCCACTTTAGCAGCAGTGCAGCTTAGCATTACCAATTAATTTACTGATATTACTTCTGTCCTGTAACAATACATTGGTGCTTTGTCTGGCTCCAGGCAGAAGATGACGATGATGATGAATTAATGGGAGATCCTGATGAGGATCGAGGAGGAATGGAAGTTGTTCTCCATGAGGACAAGAAGTATTACCCCACTGCAGAGGAAGTGTATGGGCCCGAGGTGGAGACCATTGTGCAGGAGGAGGATACTCAGCCCCTGACAGGTAAGTGGAATACTATATTAGTTTGTTGTGGGCCTTCTATATAGTATATAGAAATGTACCACTTTACTTGATCCTTCAAGATGAGATGTCACATTCTATAATGTGTGCTCTTAAAGGGACTGTGATGGCCTCAGTAGTTTCTGCTTCTGTCATCAGTGTACTAGATTGTTGCAGTGATCATAGTTTAGAACTATGTAACTGCTTTGTTTTATTTTTTTTAGTGTTACAGATCACAGACTTATTCTGTGATATGCCCGAGACCTGTGAAGGGTCTATGTGTCCTCTAGTTAACCCTCAGTAACATCCCTTGGCAAAGTTCCCTTTACCCTGTGGTAAAGGAGCCTGTAGCCAAAAATTAACTTTAGGTCCACTGTTCACCCTTGCTCCTAAAATTTACATCTATTTTCTGGGGTGGGCTTTCTCTGACATTTGTTATATAAAAGCTTCTTACTTCTGGGACCTAGTTCCTAGCTCAGAAGCGCTTTTCATTGATAAGCGTGGTCATGTGACCACACTGAACAATGAGTGCTCATCATTTGCAAGCATTATGAGCATTCCATTATACAGTGCTGGGAAGTCCAGTGTATGGACCACTACAACAGCTGGTGGGGACTTCAGACATGTGACTTGAGTGGGGGCCAGGGGAGGTGTTGAGGTGATGTGGGTAAGTTATTTATTTCACATTTTGTGAGA